TCGATGGAAAGGGGTACCTCAAGGCTAGCAATTCACTAGCTGCTTCAGAAGCATGTTCCTCTGGCCTCTGGTCCCTCTACTTGAACTCTCAATACAATAGCTGTGCTTCAGATGTGAGCACATGCTCCAAGATGCTCTGGGAGTTGTGATGTGACCTCCTACGATGACATTACCACAATAGAGCTAGTAAACAGGGCTCCATTTTCCTTTTTTTAAATTGGGGCCAAAAAAAAAAAAAATAGTTCTGAGTTAACTTTGGGGATAGAGAAAACAGGATTTGTGGTATTTTATTTTTTGTTTCATGCATACAACTTCCCTGTGTTGGATAATACAGACGGAAAAATTATGATGGTACAATTAAGCCGTTGAAACAGATTGCCCACCCAGATGGGCCCTGATTTGACAGACAATCACATCCAATCTGGTTTCCAGCAGCCAGTCCTCCAGATCTTATGCTTGGCTTCATGCAAGCACAGAAGGAGACACATGAGTCAATTAATGATGCTCTTGATTCCAGGCTGACTCCCCGCAACCCTCTGGCTATCTCAGACTGACTACTGCATATGTTAAGGAGACTACACAAGATCAAACCATGGAATTTGCTGGAAGTCAGGCAGCAAAACAGGAGTCTAACAGTGGGCTCCACTCAGCTCCAGTATGTGCATCTCCAAAGTGATAATAAGATCCACTCCAAAGTCGGACTGGCCTTTTCATATTTTTGTATAATCTTTTAAATTTTGGCAGTAAAATTATTCAATACTCTAAACCCCTAAACACAATTGAAATGTTTACTTGGGTGTCAAAAAGGGAAAAAATTCTTTTAGATGAGATCAGTATAGGATAAAAGAAGGAATCCCAGGGCAGAGCTTCCTGGGGTCACGTGGCTCTCTTATCATCAACACCCTAAAGTGCTTGTCTCATGTAGTCCCACATTCATTTTCCTCCCATACCCCAAGCTCACCACATAGAAAACAGTGGGTGTTGTTTTCTGAGCAAAGTTTCTGCTTATCCCTCTTTATTGCCATTTCCTCTCTCATGGGTATGTCTGCTCTCTTACCAGCTCAGAGAACCACAGTGAAGCTCCTGTTTCTTTGTGGAAAGAGCTTGAATAGAAAAACACAGGCAGTTACTTCTAGTTTGTTGGTTTGGATCTTTGGGTGTATTTCACTATGATACTTTCTTTATAGAGTTTAACAAATTCACTCAAATAAAGCATCAACTGGCTGCTTAGTCAGCCACACTTATTTCCTGAGACATATGAGCCTTAGAGTTTCTTAAAATTGCAATTCCAAAGATAAAGAGATTTTTAGTAATTAGAAACATAGAAGAAGGAATATTATTTCTGAGAAGAGGCGATTGCTTAGCATTTTTGGATAATGTTATTAGACTGATCCTAAATGAAAGGGAATAATGGAATAAAAAACAATCAGAGGCAGAAAGCCTTTTTTTTTTTTTTTGAGGAGAGAAATTAGACTCAGAAAACATGACTTGACCAGCTGCACAGAGGCTACGGCTTTATGGCATTTATTATTATGCCAACATCATAATCATCCAAACAAATAGACTGACTCCTAAATTAAATTTTACAGAGTGGGCCCAAAGGATCCTAGGATACTAGCTCCTCTAGCTATTGATTAGAACCCAGAACTGTATGATAGATCTCTTGAGTCCCCTCAACCTGTGCAGATGGGGCTGTCTGTGTTCTCACCCTGTCCCGATGGAACTGAACTCTGGAACCCTGTTTTGCCCTAGTCAGGCCATACCCATAATTTTTCTCCTGATTCATTGGGGAAATACAAGTCAAGTTAGGCTCCACCCTTAATCTTAACAGATCATTTGGCCTTTTCATTCCTAGTGTCTCATTCATCCAGTGTCAAGTGTTCTCCCAATCTCCACTGTGTCTATGGGTGGGTGGTTGCTTGCAGCATTTTGATGTTTATTCTCAAGCATACCTAGATTCATTCATTATCTTTTTATGTAGGGTACCACACTGAGGTTGCCAAGGAGATGTCCCCATCATAAGACCCACATGGGTCATTCCTGCATGGCCTGTCCTTTGTGACTCCTGCTTTTCTGTCTTGATTATCCTGGAATGTGGCCGCCTGAATCTGAACTACATGTTCCCACCTCCTTTGCCACTACATTATGTCATCTTCAGCTTTGTCCTGTTTAGCTAATGAGATGTAAGGAAAAGATTATCTTTGACTGCTTGGAAGAGTTCTTCTCTCCTTTCCCCTTCCCATTGGTTAGGAGTTAGACTTGATGGCTAGAGATGGTAAGAATCTTGAGATGGAAGCACATGCTCTTTTATACTCAGGGATGTAGGGGAAACAAATGAATCTGAAATAAATAATGGTCCACCCTCTGTACTTGTGGGTGTGGTATCCACGTATTCAACTAACTGCGGATCAATATTTGGAAAAAAACTTTCTGTCCTGAACATGTACAGACACATTTTTGTCATTGTTCCCTAAGCAGTACAGAATAGCACTTGGTGGTGCTTGCATTGTACCAGGCATTGTACAATGAAAGCATTGGATCCTCTGGAACTGGAGCTATGAATGGTTATTAGTCACCATGTAGGTGCTGGGAACCTAACCCAGGTCCTCTGCAAGTGCAGCCAGTGCTTTTGACTGCCGAGTCACCTCTCCAGCCTCCAGAATATATATATTAAGCAGTACAGAATAGCACTTGGTGGTGCTTGCATTGTACCAGGCATTGTACAATGAAAGCATTGGATCCTCTGGAACTGGAGCTATGAATGGTTATTAGTCACCATGTAGGTGCTGGGAACCTAACCCAGGTCCTCTGCAAGTGCAGCCAGTGCTTTTGACTGCCGAGTCACCTCTCCAGCCTCCAGAATATATATATACACAAATTGGATCTTTTTTTTTTTTTTTCTTTTTGAGACAGGGTCTCCTTGTAGCCCCAGCTGTCATGGAACTCACTATGTAGACCAGGCTGGCCTTGAACTCACAAAGATCTGCCTGCTTCTGCTTCCCAAGTGCTGGGATTAAAGGTGTGTGCCACCACGCCTGGCCCAGAATATATATTTTTATGGAAAATGTAGCCACCTCTGACATGCACAGCTACACATAAATGAACCACAGTAACTACTATTAATATGCAGAAAGAGTATACTTTTTAAAAGATTCTTTATGGAGTTTAACACCTCAGAAGTTGATTTTCTTGGTCTTTACAAGTTGCAAGTTCAGAAGATTCAGTCAAACAGTTGTCAAAGAGAATTGGCCTAAAATCACCATTGGCGATAGGCAGGGGACAGCAAGTCTAGAGGGTAGCCCATGACAGGTACAGGACAGTCCCAACAGCAGTGGATGGAAGAAATTATACCAAGTGGCATGTACATATCAAAGAAATCACCTTCGAACCTGCAACCTTACACTGACATGCAGCAGCACCTGGAACTTAGGGCACCCACCACCTTTTCCCAGGCTGGAGGGGGCCCTCAACAAAGAAAGAGTCCAGGGCTCACAGGGCTTCCACAACTCTCAGCAGAAATAAAATGAAATAGTACCAACAGTCTATTGTTAAGAAGAATATGAGTCTGAATATCACGGATACCAAAGATCTCATTTAAACTGAATCACCGTTAGCCCCATTGAAGTCGAAGTAAGTTAGGTAATCTCAGTCCAAGGCTCACAGGACTTTGACAACTCTCAGCAGAAATAAAATGAAATAGTACTCACAGACTATTGTTAAGAAGAATATGAATCTGAATGTCACGGATACCAAAGATCTCATTTAAACCGAATCACCATTAGCCCCATTGAAGTTGAAGTAAGTTTTATAATCTCTCTGTGGTTTTAATTTTATATTGTGCAGTATCATGGGACTGAACTTGATGAACTATGGAATTCCTTTTATATGTTGGAGAATGTTATATTTGTATTTAATTGATACTTTGATGTAAATGGGCTACGTGGAAAACTTCTATTAATTATATATTTACTTCTAGATTTTATTTTATTTTACTTTATTTTATTTTTTGGCACTTTGAGACAGGGTCTCCCTGTCACCCTGCTAACTTGGAACTCTATTTAGACCAGGCTGGCCTTGCCTTCACAGAGATCCATCTGCCTCTGCTTCCCCAGTGCCAGGACTAAAGACATGTATCACCACGCCAGGCTTTATTATAGATTTTAAAAGGCAAACAAAAGCTTCTAAATACCTGTAAAAGTCACCAAAGAAATACATAATTTGCATGTGCGTGGATGTACACAACCTTTGGAACCTAGATTTGTAGAAACTTTCTTATTTGCTTAATCCCAATGAACTCTCATGGTGTCCCACTGTTCTTGCTAAAAGATTCTCTTATGTAAATATTTAGGCTAGGACTTTTAAACACCCACAAACATTTATTTCAATCTCCAAATAACGTCACCCAGAGGGCTCCGAGCACTTTTTGACATGGAAGCTTGGGCTCTCTGGATGTGTCTCACAGACAATTTCTTGAGTTAAGCAGAGCTGCAACCAGAAATGAGATGAGGATCTAAGTGGTCTTGAATCTTGCAAGGTCTTTCTCCATTTTAACTTTCCTCCTTCCTCAGAGACATGCAAACAAGGCAATCTTTAATTCTAGAACTGTCTATAGACCCTTGCTTCCTTGATCCAGAAGTTAGAGAGAAATGGAGGGGCTGGAGAGATGGCTCAGCAGTTAAGAGCACTGACTGTTCTTGCAGGGGACCCAGTTTCGATTTCCAGCACACACATGGCGGCTACGAACTGTCCTTAACTCTAGTTCCGGAGAAATCTGACACCCTATTCTGACCTCTGTGGCATTGCACCATGTGGGTACATTCACCTACATGCAGGCAATACACTCATACACATAAAAAGAGAGAGAGAGAGAGAGAGAGAGAGAGAGAGAGAGAGAGAGAGAAATGGAAAGTACCAGGCCAACTTTGGAAGTTACAGAAATCCAGTGGATCATGTATCTAATAAATTCAAGGAAACAGGAAAAAAAAAAAAAGCCCACTTACTTCATCAACATGCCCAACAGCTCCATAGATCCTTGCCATTTGTCCAGTGAGATAGGGGAATCTCTCCCCAATCTCTTTCAGCATTGGGAGAAAACTGTTCAAAGCCAGTGGCTCATAGCTTGCTATTTCTATGAGGACATTTAGGATAATGTCATTATGGGTTGAATCCTTCAAATGCCTGATCAGGAACGGAACACATTTCTCAACCACCTACAAAGAGGGAGGAAAGGGGAAGGGATGAAAGGACAAAGAAAACTAGTTAAATCGGAATTAATTTTGAAAGATGACTTTGTCTGAGACAGTTTCACACTGCAGGCTGGCCTTGGACTTATAGCAATCTTCCTGCCTTAGTTTCCTGAGAACTGGGATTATAGGCATGTGGAAAGCAACACTGTAAATATTAAATCAGAAGTTAACTCATTTTGGGATTATTAAACTCATGAGAATATAAACAAATTGCCAGAATTTGAAATCTAAAATTTACAATAAAATCATCTGTGTTTGAGCTTATTTTCCTTTTAAGTTATACTCTGCTATTGAAGGGTAAAGTTTACAAAATGCTTAGGTTACTGCTATTCATAATCTAAGCTTTGATATTTATAGGAATGTTATATTCCAACAACCACAAAAGGTCTGATTGAAGGGACAACGGGCACGTAAGAGATCCTTGTTGATTTTACTAAAGTCTTCAATTTGGGAAAATGCTGTTTAGAAATGTTTTGTATTAAAAATGAGAAAGCAGGGAAGGTCTCTCCTATTGCCTTCAATCATCCATTTTGATCCAATGTCATGGTAAGGTAAAAATAATTTCCACCATATTTTTACTGCTTAATACTTCTATTTTAATACCCTTATGAATATAATGATTAAATAATTCATATTAGAAAATGTGACTTTTGTGAAATAAAGTCATAATACACAGTATGAGAGGAGAGAATTTACAAAAAATATGCACAAGCTTGCTTCATACTGACAATTTAATGAACTGTTTTGTTTGCTAAAATTAAAAGAAATCACAAAAAAACAGTGGAAAATGAACCAATAAAAATAAGGATCTGTCCATCTACATTTCTGTTACGCATATTTCTTTTGTCTGCTATGGCTTTGCATTATTTTTCTTTTGTCAGTTTCTCAGTAGGATAGATTTTAGATATAGTTCCCAGTATTGTTAACTGACTGATGCACAGACCCCCACGGACAACCTGTTTTCTGTCCTGCTCTGGCTTCAAGGGTGTATTTTTCTGTAAATGATAACATTATCCATGTAGTTAAGCCAGGACATTTTGTCTTGTTTTTTGCTTTTGTTTATTTTAGTTTTTTGAAGCATGGTTTTAATGTGTAGCCAAGGCTGGCCTGGAACTCAATATATAGACCAGGATAGCCTCCCTAGTGCTGAGATTTTAGGCACAAAACACTCTGCTTGATTTTGGGCATTGCTCCTCCCTTACCAGCAATCACCATGAAGTTCCATTGATTCTACCTCCCTTGTATCCCATGAATGTGTCCACTGCCTCAATTTCTACTCCCCCATACTTTGACCCCAACACGGATACTCATTGGATTTTTCCCATTTGCAAGGTATTATCCTAGGTGCTGGGGTTATAGTTGGGGACATGTCTAGAAGGATTCATTCCTTTACAGAATAAGAAACAAATAATCACATCAGAACCGTATAATTACAAAATTTAATAACTCTATGTAGGAAAATACAGAATTCTGTGTAAACGTAAGCTGGGGGGGTCAGGCAAGGCCCCTCAGTGGGGACATTAACTGAGATCCCTGGTCCTGTCATTCAGTACTTGGGTGATTCCATCTTTCCCATCCATATTCTTTGTATCCTATGCTCATAGTGGTGCCCTTTTCCTTCTGAAAGCTACTCAGTTATTGGACCTTGCAGTCAAGACAGAATCTTAGTGTACATTTCTTGTATAGACAGACCCTACTCTGTCCACTCAGCCCCTTGCCCATCCTTTCCGCTCTGCCCCAACCCAACTGTATCGTGGATCGTACTGCAACTGTGATGAACCTTGAAGAAACTTTACTTAACCTACTAAGTTTTCTCTTGTGCCTGAGATTTTACTTCTGTGGCTCACTCTACTTGAATTTCTTGCCACCCTTGTTTGACTGGACTAACTCCTAATTATTCCCAAGCCCCCAGATTACATCATTTCCTAAGAAAGACTCCGGACTACACTCCTCTTTCCCTCTCAGCCTTTTATTCCTGCTGAAGTCCCTGCTGTGAACTCCATGATCCTATGTAGCTCCTTCTTATGTTCCCCTCTTATGACTGGCCTGGATGTCTGTCTTTAAGACTGAATGGAATGGTCTTCAAGGTCAAGAATCCTGTTTTATTTGTCACTGGTTACAAGTAAGTCAACGAATACTTGAGAAACAAATCAAAGGGGAGCAGATCTTAATGTTTTACAGGGTAGTATTTAAGTAAAACACCATTTCACCACAGTAACTGAAGGTCTGTACATAACATTTAAACGTGCACCACCATCAGTCATGCACAGTATAATTAACATAACAATCGAGATTATTAAAACGATCCTACATAGGGAGCTAAAGTGTATATCCATTCAAGTACTTTGAGAAGAACAAGGCTAGTTTCTGGTAAATTGCACGCATACGTGAACAGTTCTATAACTGCTCTGCCTGTGCATTTTGGAGGGCCTACATGTCCTTCAGGGGACATCACAAGGGTCCCTGGCACGTACATCTAGAGTATCAGCCAGCTGCACTGGGTCAGGACAACATATCTAACCTGAGACAAAATGGAAAATGCTCACACATTTCCTGCCTCTTTCAGAAAATTTCATTTCCCAGCCCTTACTCTTCAGGTCCTATTCTGGGAACACCAAGGTCTCTGTGTTCCAAAAATGAAAAATAAAGAGGGAAAAAAGGAAGGAGGACAGAAAGGACAGAAATAGAGACGAAGAGAAAAAAGAGAAAACATGCAGGCACAATGTAAATAAATCCTCCAGGGCACAGTTGAATCAGTAGAAGGTGCAGCCCTGAACACTGTCAACAGAGTAATGACGGCTTTATAAATAAAGCAAAAGCTGAGTATTTTGCTATGAATTCCTAACAGAAAGTTTATTATGATGGTGATAGAAAAGAGAGATATTTCGAAGTTTATCACATTCACACATACATGAAAGAAAAGTGACGCTCTGGGCAAAAGGAATTTTATTTTCTATACACGGCATATCTTTGGGCTGGTGTCTCCAGTGCTGCCCCATTGGGAGTTGACTTCATGTCTCCAAGAAAGTCCTATCTTTGCTGAGAACCAGGGAGTCACAGAGACAGAACAGATGGCGGTGGGGAGCAAGCTGATGTGGCTGTAAGCATACTGCTCTGCATCACTGAAAGAACTCAATAGCCTTTTCCCCCTGTCTCTCTCTGTTCTGCTCAGCCTCTTCACTGTATCCAAAGTACATTGTCCTGAAACCAAAATCTAATCATATCAGGCTTCCCTAAGTGACTTTCAAAGATCCTTTATGGGTCCAGGCAAGAATCCCAGTGCCAGGGCCTTGCAGAGTTTTCATTGATGAGTGTTTCTGGTACCTCCTCCCTATGGCCCAGCTTCCTGGTACTGCCTGCCCACAGTGGTGGACAGAGCGGAAGTCTCATACATTTAAATTCCACTGTCTCTTCATCCCACTCTAATAGACTGGGGTGGAGTGCAAATGGAGCCTTCACACCACACATCCAGATACTCAGCAGTGATAGTAAATGTTCTCCTACCTGACAAGAGAACCTTGTGTCAATCTGGGATGCCTCCTTTGAATTTAGAATCCTTTTATCTATATGGAAGAAATGGGGAGTGATGACCCCACCCCACCTCTTTTCTTCCTACCCCTGTCTGTGGGTAGCCTAGGCTCATCTAAGCTACCCCTCAAGCATGTGAGTAACAATGTAAAACTTAAAATTTCTCCAGATAATTCTATACTAGGGATGACAATGACCGAGGCCCTGGTGTCAGGAACACTCCTCTCTCCACAGTTCTGACAACTTATCTCACAGCTAAGTCTGCATAACATTATGCTCTGGCTTTTATTCTACTTTCCTTTTTCTATAAATTGAAGTGTACTACAGGAAAGGTACAGAAAAGTAAGAATTTCTCTCTCTTCAACTCTGGTCCAAATTTTAAAGTAAAGCCATGTCCCTTTATGAACTGCTGCATCCTGGGGTTTTAATAAGACAAACAACAGATGCAGAGGGACTATACTCACTCTTAGAGTGTCTTCTCCTGGGGTAAACAGACCCAGGAATAGGCATGTACACTCGATGCAGGTTCCAAGTGTGTAGGAAAGTTCCAAGGCCCCAGTTCCCTGGGCTATACTTCGTGAGGGGCAGATTTAAACCAGGGGCACAAGTAGAAGATGCTAGACCAGAGCCCTCTGAAGCAAACAAGGGTAGAATCCTAGCTTGATTTTTCTGGTTCTTCCAGGACAGAATTACTTACTTATTTTTCTATCTCCCATAGCAGGCTGTTTACAACATCAGCATTTGTCACTAAATGGACATTTTGTGTATACATCTCCCCAAGCCATGACCACCTTAAGGACAGGGTCATCTGAAAATCATGCTATATTTGGTTGGTAGTAAGTGATATTTCAGTTCTTATGTATAGATAGAAGATAGATGTGGAGCATGGTGGATGCCTTTAAACCCCAATACTTAAGAAGGAGAGGTGGGCAGATCTCTGTCAGTTCAAGGCCAGTCTGCTCTACATAGCGAGTTCTAGGCCAGCTGGGGCTGTATATTGAAACCTTGTCTCAGAAAAAGGTATAGTGATGTACATGTATTTGTATGTGTATATGTCTCTGTCTCTCTCTTTCTCTGTCCTCTGTGTGTGTGTGTGTGTGTGTGTGTGTGTGTGTGTGTGTGTACATATGTGCATACACACACAAAAGAAAGCAGTAATGGTAAGAATGAGGCACAACAACAATATTTGCCTTCATTAATCTCCAGAAGTCTACAAAGTGACTGCCATTCTTTTCGTTTACTTCTGGCTTCCTCCACACTGAAAAATATGTATTTCCTGGAAAACGGGTTCTGCCCTAAAGACTATCTCTGAGTACTCTATATAGCCCACCGTTCCATCTTCCTCATGTTTTGCAAATGACCTCTTTAAGTAAATATGCACTGACTTCTGAGTGGTGTGGGCCACTGGTCCATGCTGTAGTAGGTGTTGTAGGATT